TTTGGCTATCTAGGCGACTGATTATCAGTAGTGATCAAACAAGCATTTACATAAGCACTTTTCCTAATGCCATAACTTCTAAAAAGGCTCAAAATCATGAGATAAGTATATATTTTTCGACAAACTCGATCGTAGCCTTGTGTCACGCACCTCCATAACCCTGAAATTCAAAATGCTCTGGATTCCAAACGAAGCACGCTATTGAGCTGGAAAATTGTAAACAGATATAAATATACCGACTCTTATGCCTGATCAGGATAAAAACTTTGGTGGCTCTTTAGATTTGGATTTTACAAAGTGATGACCTCACGTGAAAACGATCCATACTGAAGCACACGAAAATCCATCTCCCTCAAATGCTGTAGCCATTTTTAATTGGATGATTATGGGGTCAGGAATTGTTCTGGTACCTTATACAGGTTTTCAGTACAAGACATTTTAGTTTTCGGCGCCGTTCTGCATCAACCAAACCGGCTGCATGGCGTAGCAATATACGGGCTTACTGGTGAAGGTGACATAGCTAATTCACTTTTGAACTAACGGCTGAGGGAAGCCTTTACGCTGATTCAAAATGTAGAGTGTAGTGGTCGCTGCGTTCAGCTCTCATGTTTACTAACAGCCCTCTCACCCTTTTTGACCGTCACCCCTACCCCAAGGCTAACAGTTGCTCACTCCACGCGCAGAAAGGGCGCCAAACTTTGGGACACGAGTTTGACGCACGACAGAAAAATTTCTATCAGTTCTCTTTCACGATATCGTTCCACCAAAAGAGAAATTGATTTGTTAATCGTCTCTAAAGAAGACGAAATGCCGAGACATTCAAATGGGAAACGCCAGGTATGTTATCTAATTCTTAGAATTTGTCATTCATTCAATGAGAAAATGACAAAAGCCTTGCTGTTCAGGTTGTTGTCGCTACTTGACCCATTGCCTGCATCCATTTCTCGCAAGCGAGCTTACATATACAAAAGCTTATGTAGGTTTTAACTGTTTCTCTCTTGATGTCTCACTCTTTCATGAAGTCACCTAGAAAGCCTGAAATGGAGAGGATAAGGCGGCAGAGAATCAATAAATGCTTGTCGCAAATCAAACTTCTCATTCCAGAGGCCAAAGAACTGGAGGTAGGTTTCAAACTGTGCGCGAAGCAGACACGCGGCGCCGTAAGTTTGAGAAGCCTATGGTTTGAAGTCGCATGTATATCCTCATTTTAACAAACTGAATCGCTTTCAACTAAATTAGGTTGTCTTTGATTCTCTTTTTTGCAGATCAAGAAAGGTTGCAGGCTCGAAAAGGCTGAAATCCTGGAGATTGCCGTTCAATTTATTCAGAGAGTACAAAACAAGACGAACACTAGGAAACAGGAAGGTGAGCTAATGTAAGAATAAAATTTTTCCACTAATAATACATGGATGGTTTTCTTCTGAAACAAACGCAAAGTTAAATTTTCATAATAGAACGGAGATCAAGATTACAAGGGAACTATTTGGTCTTATGTTTTCTTAACGCGTGCACAATTCGTATGCGTCTCGAACAACTTTTGTTTGGCACAAACAACGTGTGAGAAAAAGAAATTTTCGTGTTAAGTACACCAGGACTTTTTTTTAAATGATAAATTGCACCTAATGAGTTGCAGAGAACATGACAATTCAAAGAGTAACTTTCAACTTTGACCGTTTAGTTGGCCCTTACAAATTGAACTCACAAAGTCGCTTTCAGTCCCTGAAATATTTCAAAGCTAAATGACACTTCAAGATTTTGGCAATTTGTTTACCTGTATTCCCCTTTTCTTCCAGAAACCTCTGTTGGACTCGAGGAATGCTCTGCATTTTTCAACTCAAGCACGGCCTCAACGAGACCAATATTCCAGGGCCATTTTGACCTGCCACAAAACCACAATCCCTCGTCGCCATTTTTCTCAGCCCCTGCATGTTGCCTACAACCCTGTGAATGCTGCGACTCAGTCAAGCAGATTTCTCAAAATAGACTCTATAGGTCATTATTTCCACCGGCGTATCCTCGGATTTTCAAGCCGCGATGTGTTTCTTCAAACATGGCATACGTTCCTGTGACCAGTGGCCTCGAGACCTTTGCAATTCCACCTCAGGAACCTGCCGATTTGTCGGTCTCAGTCAAAGCCGAGACTGACTGATGGAAAACAACCTCTCGAAGTTGCGTTTGTTTTTTTCAGTGTTTAGCGGAAACTAGGAGCTTTGAGGTTAAATTTAGAAACCGTCCTTTTAAAAAAGGCACTTTCAGTTGAGTTGGTACATTTTGCAGAATTGCAAGCTATGTTGAATTTCGTCCCATCATTCGTTACCCGACCGTTGAAAACAACTTACTTTCCTCGCATACTGGTTCGTTTGATTAAGAGTATTTTACTAAATGATGGCCTTGATTTTGTCAGTTGAACATATAACTGAAAACAAAATAAAAAAGGATAAAACTAACAAAAAAAACTAAGTTCTTTGCATAGGTATGATGTTACTAAGTTCTTACACGTAATAAGAATTGTTTTTTTATGCGAATACAAACTTTTTTAATTCATACACCTCTGTGACAGTAGAAAATGTTACTTTAGAAGCTACTGTTTTGACAATGCGACAAATTTATAATTTCCCAGGTTCACTTTTACAATTGTTGTCTCATAAAACGTCTCTAAATGTACGAAATTCGTGGGGATTTTTTTGTTAACGTACTTCACATACGTTTGTTTATTAGAGAACTTTACAATTGTTTCAAAATTGAACTGTACAATTTGCCGCACTTGATAATAAATATTAACTCTTTAATTTTCGCTCTCTTGTGTCCTGTACTCTAAATATTCATCAATCTTATTGCGTGTTATTATGCAGAATTTGAGGGTTCGTCAACATCGTGTCTTTCTGGATAAATGTTTTCATTCTCTCTCTTATCTCCTTGATAATGTGGCAATTCTGTGTGTACACGGTTCAATAGATTGACGATTCTTGGCGATAACTTGCTAGTTTTATATTTTCCACGTGGGTTTTGGAATGTTATTTTAGCAGTTACTGTTTTGACACTGCAACAAATTTATAATTTCCCTGCTTCATTAAATTACTTTTACAACTGTTGTCTCATAAAACATCTCTAAAGATCTCTGAATGTGTGAAATTCGAGATTTCTTGTTTCTTGCTGCAGTTTT